CCCATCTTTTCCTTTTTCAAAGTGTTCATGCGTTTTGCGTGCTTTGTCAAATGCGTGTATTGCAGGAACAAGTCGAGTTCGGGTACGGTATGAAGGCCGAGCGTTGGGCGGGGACCATCGTCGACGATGAGGACACCGGCTACGGGGGGCTACCTCCAGGAACAGAGGTGAACGACAAGGAAGAAAAAAACAACATAAATGAGGCGTGTGTTTTTACGATAAAGGTGTGCCAGTCTTCTCCGAGATGATTCAAATATTATTGCCTGCGTGATGTGCTAGGACGGGAGAAATAGAAAACGCGTGGTTCTCTTGCGTGGTCCTAGGCGCGGTGCTGCCGCAGTTTACGGCTTTGGATATCTCAGGTAAAATACCCCCCATTGCCCCCCACGTCTCCCCCGCGAACAGTCACTGGTGGATTTTCAGCGCAACCCGGACAACCAAAGCGAAGTTCGGCTCTTGTACCACCGCGTCGTGGCGCCGACGAACGGCGTGCTTGGGTGGGCAGGCGGCGATTCCCTCTCGTTCGATTTGGTGTTCACGAACCTGGACATGATGGCCGCCAACGACGTGCTGGACCTGGTCAAGGTAAGCAAAGTTAAACACTGTTTTTTTTTGTAGTCTACTCGCACTTGCTGTCGTCCCATGCATTCCCCGGAAAGATAAAACCGTCACATTAGTTATCCACAGATCACGTGACAGCTGTTTAGTAAATACCAGTAACAATTCGTCGCTGCTACTGCTGCAACAATATCCCGAGGGAGGTGAACCCGTTATGTGTTATTCCGGTCAGGCGGCTCCACCACACCACAACACGCTTCTTCTGCTCCTCTGTGGTTGCGTCAAAAAGCATTGCACCAAATTAAACGCGGCTCACACAATTCAAAATCTGAAACCGCCTTTAATTTAGGTGCCGGGCATCTGCGAGGTCATGGCAGGGGAGTTCCACGACCAGCAGGCCCGCGGCAACGTGGGCGGGGTGGGGGGCGGAGGAGTCAGGGAACGAAGCAGGAGAGCGCTGCTCCCGTCGCCAGAGACGACGAGAAGTAGGACACCAGCATCAACGAGCTCGCTCTCCCTTCCTTCTCGTGGAAACGAGCACGCCGAGAAGGGAAGGGAGAAGTCCTGGCCGCCGCCCCCCCGAGCTGCGGTTGCAGAAGAAGAGGGTTCCGAGAACATGCACCACCCCTCCGTGCCGCTCCGAACGCCGGCCGGCAGAAGGCGCGAGGAGAACAGAATAATAGCAGATGGTGACATCGCTGACGGAAGGCAAGGAGATATCGGCGCCGTGGGCATCGGGAGCGAGGGCTCCCGCAACCCCGGCGATGTCGACGGCGGCGACGGCGGCAACCGGGGGGGGTTGAGGGGGCTGCTGGCAGCTGTGGAGCAGCAGGAGGACGAGGAGGAGGAGGAGG